ACACAGGCCTACAGAAGGGTTCATAAACCTTAAACGATAATCCAATTTATATAATAATCACTAATCCTGAGTCTTTCCCCTTGTACTCCTAAAACAAGTATAACCATAAAGATATTGGTTAACACAGGAATAAAAATGAACATATTCATGTACACCTCTTAGTGTGCCCTCGACTTTAGTGACTAAGCACGAGATTTTTTGGAGTGTAAAGGTTGTTTAGGACATTTTGCAGACGCTAGCACATCATGGACAAACGAGTGAGTAATCCAATTTTACAATTTTATAACGAACATCTCTGTAATGTTTTTTGGCAAAAGTCTTGGCTTTATTTGCCACCAAATTGCCCATTTTTTATAATATGCAATGGATCAAAATATTCAGCAGTATTGCTTTGAACAACGTTTCCCTTTGGTATATGTACAATAAAGGCCCGTCAATTTGATTCTTTATGTGTACCGTTTTGAGATTGTTACACTGAAAATTTCGTATTACACAGGCCTGCAGAAGGGGTCGTCAACTTTAACATCAATCGTAATGAGGCATACTTTGCATGGAGGATTTTGTTTGTAATATATTTTGAGAAGGAAACACATTGAAATTGTAACTACATATCAATAATGCCGATATTTTTCTTATTTATCAATCAAACATGTATTTGATAATTTATTAATTTGCATGTTCATAAGTTGTGGTACTCTGAATATTCTAAAATTCATAAGTTGATTGTTGTTTTCTTAACACCGAATGGGAACTATTTCATAAACATTGTGTTAACCAATTAACAAATAAATCTAATAGACAGGCTATGAAAAGAGCACCGACAGGCTTGAAGAGTGGGATATTTAGACAGGTACATGACATTTTTGATAGGGCCACAATTTGCCTTGCGATTGGTCCACTACAGATCCCTGAAAGACTTGTTAAAAGATTTTTTTAACTTGCAGTCGGGGGTGACGCTACACAAGACATAAGATTTATACATCTCATCAAGCCAAAGGGACGACCTTTGCGAGAATGGAGTCCTACCACCAGACAGAGAAATTAGGTCTTATTTCTATACATCAAGGTACCGGGGGTATTTTCCGAAGTCAACCTACTGTTTATCAAAATTTCCCCTATAACTCCTATTCTGTTCGACCTTTAAGTACTCTCACACAAAGCAGTTTATGGATTCGTCAGATACATGTAGGTTATAACATCATTTGAATTATTTGGTTTGATCCTAGAAAGATGTTTATTAAAATCTAACAATTCGTTGTCTTTCTGCAATGCAATGCTACAGTTGGGCTCTTGGTGGATGATACACAAACAGATTGAAGGAATATTTTTCTCCAATAGCAAACTTTTATCCCCATGGGAATTTTTTATTTCCAATAGACCCCCCACCATTCCCTATCCCACTATGGAGATTGATCTCCCATGGGGATAAGTGTAAAAGTGTAATTCATATGGAAAATTAGGAAATTCCCATTGGAAAAGCCCTATTTGGGAGATATAAATTCCTATGTTTTATTTAAGTTATAATTCTGATTTTGAAAAAGGGTAACAGATATCATGATAAAATTTTCATTAAATTCCCATAAAATTCTGCACATTTTGTTCAGTCATTCGACTAGATAGCTCTAAAAAAAAAGGTGGCACAAGATTTGCAAATCATTAAAATTTCAATTTCAAATTTGTAAGTTTTTTTTATTAGTCTATAGCTGTTCTACAACACAATATGTTCACCAAATTAATGTTTGGTTAATTACTTTTTAGGTTTTCGGTTCATCAACTATACAATTAAGAGAACACTCCTAGGCAATGATGTTCAGTCTGCTTTTGGAAAGGGCAAAGATGTAAACGTTTAACTATATATTCCATATATAAAATCAATTGAAATGCTGGTACAAAGTTGACAAGCAAACAAAACATACCTTTGTTGAGCATGTTATTAAGGAGGAGTTCCAATTAGTCAATTTTATTCGGTTCACCTTTTTTAAGAAGATGGAGATTGATGAGACAGTATTCTGAGATGAGGGAAATGATCATGCATATCGATATCATCCCATATTTTGTGACTGAAACGAATGGTGCATAGTCTTTAGTTAGTTTCTTTTCTTTATTGTTGTTTTATGATTTTGTTTTGTTACTGGTACTTTGTGCATATTGCAGAGTTGTTTACTACTTGTAATGATTTGAAAAAAATAAATGTGTAAGATATTAAAGATAAAAAAGAACTTACCAAGTTTTTACAGCAAGGATTCCTTCCGAATTCTTTTCGTGTCAGTTTAGGGTTATACCGAAGTAAACAGAGGGAAATTAAAAAAGAAGTTTCCCAGTTTGATAGTGTGTCCTATAAGAAAAATCATTATGATATGAGTTTAATTATATAAGGTTATGTTTATATTTTATGGCATCAGTGATTACACGTGAACTGGTTTATAAGCTTGAAGCCAAATAATGTAATATTGTTGAAATACAATGAAATATAAAGGAATCATAGTTAGCCCCCTTTATTTCATCGGGATAATATTTTTAAGGATACAAAATAAGAAAAAAAATTAAAACTAAACTGAACTAAAAGTGTAAAAGGATATTTAACAACTGAAGAGCAAATGAAAACACAATAAAATGGGTTCGTTATTTCAAATAAATTTGCAAAATATAAAATGTTAAAATACCACAAAATATCTTCCTAATTTTGTAATGAAACGTATACTTGTGTTTTTAATATGCTGTTCACATATCTAATGAAGGTAACTGGAGGTATGTGTACAATCTTTTCCCGGTCAATGGAAGACACTGGTGTCCTCCCCGATGGACTGTGGCCTCCACAGCCCTGACGGAGTAGAACACTTGTATTGTCGAAGCAATTAGGATTCGCTTTAAATACTTCGTTAATTCAAAGGAAAAAGAAGAGGATTCTCTGGGAGACATGAATGAGTGAAAAAGGTCCCACACACCATAACTCTCTCACACACTATATCACGCACACGTTTACTCTCTCCCTTTCTCTCTCACTCACACACAAACTCTCTCTCTCTCTCTCTCTCTCTCTCTCTCTCTCTCTCTCTCTCTCTCTTATTTTCTCACACTGTGAGCGACAGTGAAAGAGAGAGATTGTGACAGTGAGCGTTTTCGTGAGAAGATGAGCGAGAGTGTAAGAGCGAGAGCGCAAAGGCGAGAGAGTGAGGAGTGTATGAACGAGTGTGCGGTTTTGCGAGAAAATGATTGAGGAACTGAGTGAGTGAGAGAGCGACCGAGTGAGTGAGGAGTGTGAAAAAGTGAGCAAGTAAGCGAGAGAGTGAGGAGTGTGTGAGAGAGTGAGAAGTGTGTGAGTGAGTGAGCGACCGAGTGTGTGCGAAAGTGACCGAATTAGCGACAGAATGATGATAGAGTGAGCGAGAAATGGAGAGAGTGAACGAGTGTGAGAAGTGAGTGAGCGAGTGTTGGAACGACTAATCTAGTAAGAACGAATGAGTGTGTGAAAGAGTGAACGAGAGTGAGTGTAAAAGAATGAGCGTGTGTGAAAGAGAGAGAGAGATAGAGTATAAAATTGATACTGAATGTGAGTGAGATTCAATATGAGAGTGAACGACGAGAACAATGTGACTGAACAAAAGAGCAGTACGAGTGATTGAAGTGAGTGACGTTTTTTATTAGGAAATAGTAACGAACGTATGCGAATGTGTGAGTTCTGTGTGAACAATAATTAGTGAATGAACAGATGTCGTGAATGGGTTTGAACCTTTAGATGTGAAATTATTCTCTCCTAAAATATCAATACAATCGACTATCTGATTTTAAATCGCATATCACATACGTGATTTATATCTTGCATACATCAGTTGACAAAAAACAAAGTAAAGTCTGATACACGCAAAGCTTTAATTATTAAGAGAAATCGCAATGTTTAGTAAGTATAACTTAAAACAAATAATTTACATTTTTTTTTTTAATTTCATGATGACTGTTTTAAAGTCTGTTTCTCATGACCACCACCACATCCGATTTTAATAACACACGATTTACATGTTTAAACATTATCCCGGATAAAACAGTAGCAACACCAAATGGTATTGTATCAACTGGGATCATGTATATACTATATATAAAGGGGGGAGGGGGGGATGCGAACCCGGATAAAACAACTGCCATTGAATGATATTATACAATGATTACTGTCTTTGATGATGTAAATATGTGGTTTTATGGACCTTTAAAAAACTAATGTTCACTGAGGCCGAAATAATATGAATATGGATTAAATAGATAATAACGCTTCTTTGCCATACATAGAGCTCTATTCTCAATAAACAATACACGTAAGTATGGAGCAGACATGTATGTACAATATTTCCAATACAAAAATGCCTATACACTATATGTGTAGAATTTTAGCCCGGAGCACATACACCTTTGTTAATAAGCAATATAAATTTACAAAGTTTTGTTCGATTCTTTTTCATTCTTATTTATGATGAAATTCATAGCCAATGTCATTTTCGTTTCACAGTCTTTAAGAACATGGTCAATAAAATTGTTGATCATAGGCAATTGCTTTAACACTCAGATATGTGCCATGATGTATGTGCGAGTCAAAACTTCCAGCCTATAAATCATATTAATTACATTTGTGTAACTGAAGAACGTGGTGAGACACCTTACCCTCAGATGATGTATGATGTTTTTAGCTGCTCTGTCAAAAATATTTAGTAACTTCTTGATTTTTTCCTAAATAATGTCTCAAAAAGGTTGCCTAGCAAGCCTTATATATCTGAATTTGTTTTAAGGCCTTTAGTTCTAATATAATCTGATAAGATATAGTAAAAATCTTTTTATTTCCATTTTATTTTACTTTCATTTCTTCTTGTACATGTTAAGGGCAAAAATATATCGGGAATCTTTCATAAATTCGTATTTTTCTACAAAACGATCTCAATTTTCTATATAAAAAAGAAGATGTGGTATGATTGCCAATGAGACAACTCTTCACCAGAGACCGAATGACACAACAGTATAACTATAACTTCTTTATTTTCTACTTATTTTGATGCATTATATTTTGTCTAACAAAAACGATTGGTTATAATTATAAAATTGTTATTATTTTTTAAAGGGGCATAACCTGTCAAATTCATGTTCACCGATTTGACTCAAAGTCTCATATTTGATTTATAACATCTTATAACGTATATCCAAATTACAAAAAATCTTAAATAAACAAGTATGAATGTATGGACTCGAAAATATGTATCAACGTTTCGTGTGAATTTTTGTCTAGACGACATCTAAATAACCATCAAGATGACCTCCGAAGACAGCCTACGGTCATATCCCGATATAAACATAAATATAAATATAAACAGATAGCGACCACGTGCAATTGGATTTTTCTAGGTCTATTTGATTTCATATTGTTAAAAAGTATGTTTTATCATCGTTTTTACCTTGTATAACAATGATTTTTTATGGATCGATTTACTCATTCAAATGGCTCATCCTTGTTTCACTTTCAATATAGACATTCTTTTCCTTTTAATAGCTGAATACATGCGTAAGCCATCTCCAGCTAAGGGGTTAAATTGGAGGTCACATGAATACGGATTCAATGAGGTCGAATTATTCACTTGCAAGTGAATAATTCATCAGCAATGTCTCTTAGCTTATTTTAACAAAATTAAACCTTAGTGGCTGCTACAATGGAATTATTATTTCACTATATCCCTTTCATTAATGATTGAACAAAAAGAAATCATATTTTAAATTTGTGTAAATCTCGTAGCTAATGTCCCTTTAAACAGCAAACATCACCCATCTTCGCTTGCAATACCCATCGTGTTGGTCAAACACCGAAGAAGAAGTACAGTTGAGATCGGTGTAAACCTCTCTTTAAACTGTCATAATAATATGTCATTGGAATATCATTTAACTGTTCTATGATATTTTTCCTTACAATTACATCCCAGTATAGCTGTAGGGATCTGTTCTAGGACATTTCTTCCTTACAACTGCCTCAGGATATACCTATCACAATCTGTTCTAGATCATTTCTTCCTTACAACTGCGACAAAAATGTAAACAGTGAAATTGTGCCAAGGTGATGATATGCTGTGGATGAATACGTCGAAAGTGCAAGTCTTACGTCAACACAGTTTTATATTGAAATAAAAAAAACTCTGATGACTTCAAAAACTATTTAACGAGGTCCCTGGCAGAACTAAATAGGGTTCATCTATTCAGTACGACGGCTATTGATGTCTTTAGATCTGAAGATACCAAAATGATCTGCAAAAAAAAGTAAAATAACATAAATACCGAACTGCAAGTAAAATTCAAAACGGAATCAAATGGCAAAATCAAAGGCTTACACAGATGACACACTAGTTCTCGCTCCGTTTCAATTTTCCTATTTGGTTTGTAAATTCGAAACTTATTTGCGAATTTTGAGAACGACTGTTGCCTCTTAACATCGTATTTGTGAGTACTCAAACCGTCCATTTTTACATGAGTAGTGGAGCATCAAAAAATAAACGAGAAACGATAAGCTTAACAACAATAATTAAAAAAATAATTTTACATAAAAATGTCCGTATGACATACTAGAACAACAAAAAAACAGAACTGGAAAAAAGACGAATAAACCAGACCATATTAAAACAGATTCACCATGAGCATATTATTGGTTAAATAGTATTACTTTCTATATCTCTAGCTGTTTTCGATTATATTTTTAAAAAGCCTATATTTAAGAACAGTACAGAACAAATGCCCTTGTGATTCACCGTGGTCAATTTGTACATTTGTACACAAAATTCCAAAATAGAAAGCAAAATGCCTTTTATCAATGCATAACGTATATACATTATGCACTTCGGATACTAAGAATTAAGTCTCGTAAAAGCCCCACAACGCTTATCCCTTTATCAAAATGAGGCCTCGGTCGCCGATAGATCTAAGTAGCTCATCTACTGTCTAACAAGCCTGTCAATACTGAGGTTTTGAGCTGGAACCTGCATGTTGCAGGTGTGTTCGACATCATTTTAATTGCCCGGGCATTCCGGATTCCACCACCATGAAAACTGACCACCGCGATATAGCCAACAGTGCTGAAAGTGGCATAAAACACTACCACAAACTATCAATCTTTATCAGTACTTTTTTATTCATTTAAATCATTCTGGTGCATTTTTATGAAGCCTTTTTGTGTTGCTTTCAACAACAAGTTCTTGTTTCACACAAATGTATGCCATCGGCAACAAAATTTTCCAAAAAAAAAATCAGTACTTTTACATGTCATGTTTAGAACGAGAAAAGTGCATGTTGTTGAGAATAAATGATGTCATAGCTCCTGGAAAAAGTGATACTTAGTTCAAGAATGAACCAGACTCAAGCCCAAGAATGAACCACTTCACGCTGTGAATTAATAACTATTTGTTTTCCTTCTGTTATATGTACAATGTATGATCTCAATATGCAGCGATATTTAAAGTTGTTACATACTATTAGGTTCTAATGTAAAATGAGGAATTTCGTTCGCAAGAATGATTAAACATGACAAATATAATTTTTTTTTAATTCCGTGCTAGTATTTTTTTGTAGTCCCAATAATAGTATGCGTTTTTTTAGGCTAAAAGAATAGATAGGAATTTAAAATATGCAGTTGTGCGTTATCTTTCTCTCGCCTTACACAGCATAATTGACCAACAGTTTGATTATTGATTACAACAATAACTAGTATAGAATATTGGTATTTCCATTTTGTACAATCTTACACCATAAGATTAATTTAAAATTCCATGCGGATGCAATAATATTGATTTATGCTTATAGCCAATACTTTGATTACATTATATGGGTATGCAAAACGAAAGGAGCAGATGATGATATCGAGAAGCATCACGTTTCCATGAATTTTCTAGGTATACTATCTTATTTTTTTCGTATGGTTTCCCACTAAATTAATCAGGTCGTTAGTTTTCCCTTTTGAATTGTCATACATTATTCATGTCAAGGCCTTTCATAGCTTGCTATGCGGTATGGGTATGGTCATTGTTAATGGCCATACGGTGGCATTAAGTTGCTAACTTCTACGTCACTTCTCAGATGGAAAATTGTTACATTAGCATAAATTTCACGGGTAATACAACGATAAAGAAGATTTATTAAAATGGTGCAATGAACGACCCTGACTGTTTGACTTATACGTGTTTGTTACTAATATAGCGCCCCATTCTCGTTATTGGTAAAAATCATAGATGTCTACGACTTACAGTTTCTGAGTTTTAGTTGCCAACCGGAATCGGTTAATTTTCAATGAGCATAACTCTGCCAGGGAGTCCTTGTTGCAGTTCAAATGTATCAAAGAACAAATTAAGCGTATGGTCCTGAACAAATTCCATCCTTTGGTTTTTGTGTACCGATTACATTTACGGTGTTCATACAATAAAAAGGTGTTTAGGTTTTGGTCAGATAACTCTGGACCGACAAAATTTATGACCCACTGGGTGTGTTGCGGATACGATACAAAGTGCAAACCTGATTGTGCCCTGTCTTACGGTTACAGAGGCAAATTTTTGCAAAGTTTAGCAAAGTTTGGCGGAAGAAAATAATCAGAAGAAATACAATAAGGAAAAACCTTAATAAAGAGATGTTACGAATTCCTGATAATAAGGTGATACACTCACGAGTCAAAACTGTGGAGTTGATAAAACCAAGTATATTACATGAAACCATAAAATTGAAATTTTATCCATTTATTCAAGTGCATTTCATTTAAAGACATAAAAAGCCAAGATCAATAAATTTGTATCGTATAGCTGTATATCTTTAATTTCAATATCTTTGAGGTAAATAATCAATACTTCAACATCTATCAAAATTGCAGTTTTGAGTTTTTCAAAAAGTAGTATATCAAATGATCAGGACATGAACATAATGTTGTTAGAATCCCAGCATACGTACACCAAGCTGCGATATTAAGATTTTCAGGTAAAAGATCATGCTCTTTTTAAACATAGTTTCTTGTTGAACAAATCTATCCCATCGAACTAGAGATAAAGGATACTACAGATACAGTTAAGTCTGTCTCATATCTTGACTTACATCTAGAAATTGACAATGAGGGTCGGTTGAAAACAAAACTTTACGACAAAAGAGATGATTTCAGCTTCCCAATTGTGAACTTTCCATTTCTATGTAGCAACATTCCAGCAGCGCCTGCATACGGAGTATATATCTCCCAATTGATACGATATTCCCGGGCTTGTATTTCCTATCATGATTTCCTTGATAGAGGATTGCTGCTCACAAGGAAGCTATCAAACCAAGAGTTCCAAATGATGAAGTTGAAATCATTACTTCGTAAATTTTACGGACGCCATCACGAGTTGGTTGACCGTTATGGAATAACCGTTTCACAGATGATATCGGATATGTTCCTTATGTCGTAACTACAATACCCTTCCCTTTTCACGAATGTGACCTACCGAATTAGACTATTTACCGGATTTGTAATAACATAAGCAACACGACGGGTGCCACATGTGGAGCAGGATCTGCTTACCCTTCCGGAGCACCTGAGATCACCCCCAGTTTTTGGTGGGGTTCGTGTTGCTTAGACTTTAGTTTTCTATGTTGTATCATCTGTACTATTATTTGTCTGTTTGTCTTTTTATTTTTGGCCACGGCGTTGTCGGTTTGTTTTCGATCTATGAGTTTGAATGTCCCTCTGGTATCTTTCGTCCCTCTTTCTTGTCAATTGATTAAATATGATTTTGATGGTACCTACATGCGTTTTTAAATATTTTCAACGAAAAAGTGTAACCACTCGTCTCCCGTACATTTCAACGATTCTAAAATGTAGTTAGTACATGTACCTACATTTTGTTTGGTAATTGACGTATGGTCTATTAACATTGAAGAAACGGAACATAACAATCTAATTAAAATATAGATCTCGGATTTCGTTATACTACGTTATACTACATACGAAGATCTAACAACTACCCGTATAAGGTTTCACTTCTGAAGGATTTTGCATGTGACTTTTTCAACCAATCAGAATTCTAGTTATCCAATCTGAACAGCGCACGCGGAACATATTTACTTGAATGAGGTTCATTGAAAGGTCCCGAGGGTATCCAAAAATAAAAACAATGGGACTTAAAATTTATCGCTTCGATTGTTAATCGTTTGGAAATAGTTTTTAAATCTCTTTCGTCGTCATATTGTAACTATAGCCATGAATATTTGAAATATGTGACGTTTGTCAAAGTTTTCAGATGTGCCTCATATGCTTTATGACTTGAGGTCAGATCGTAATCGTGGAAATTAAAGAGTACAGTAAACACTGTTAAACTGTACACTATAGCACTGCCAGAGGCGGATCCAGGGGGGGGGGGGGGGGGGGGGGGGGGGGGGGGCTTCCGGGGGTTGGAACCCCCCCCTTTTTTTGACGATCAATGCATTTGAATGGGGACATATAGTTGAAACCCCCCTCTTTATCCTGGGTTAGGAACCCCTCCCCCCTTTTATAAATGGCTGGATCCGCCCCTGACTGCTTCCCTCTGCCAGACGTGGATCAAGGATTTTGATAAGGGGGTGCAAACTATGCATAGTTTGAATGGGACATGTAAAAAGTCTAAGCATTGATAAACCATACATATATATGTTTAGCGCCACAAGCACCCCCCTCGGCTTGCATACAAGAAAAAAAACTGTCCTCTTTAGCTGCTCTGGTGAAGTTTTTTTTAGCTCAGTTGGTCGAGTCTACTAGAGAGGTGCCTTACTGTACGAATTTTTGTGAACTGTCAGGTAGGGGGGGGGGGGCTCTTTTATTTTGTATCTAGTAAGAAAAAAATCTTAGGTAGTAGGCTATATATTTAAATACATGTGTATTTCCTATACAATTCCCATGCTGTAGCAGATACATATATACAAAAAACCAATCCTTGTCTATCATTGACATAATAATTGATAAATAAAATTCGAACTTGATCTGTAACTTGTCATGATAAAACAATACACCAAAAATCAAATCAATATCTTCAAGCACGAAGAAAAAAAAAGTGTGGAAAACTGATTTGCCAGACTGACGGATGGACAGACAGACAGATGGAGTGCAAACCTAAAGTCCCCTTCGACTTTGACGGTAGGGGACTAATAACCAGGCATTTTGTAATATCAATATATGATTTAGATAGCTATGAATTTAGCTCGAACTGAAAATTCTTGCTTTTTTACCTTTTAGATAAATCCTTACATTTACAGCTAGCAATAAACCTGACTTCCAAATAACCTTGCATTTTGTAAGATCAATATATGATTGAGATAGCTGTAGAGTTTTATTCAAATCCAAGTTAATTTGGAAAAGTTATATAGGGAGCTAGGGGGGGGGGGGGGGGGGGGGGGGGGCTAGGATGAAATTTGAAAAAAATAGGCAGGACAGGAGTTTTGAGTAAAAAAAAGGCAGGATGAGACACTTGCAAAAAAAAAAAGTCAGGCCACACTTAAAAATATTTTGGTTTGCCCAAACCCTACCCAAAGGTAGAGACAGTGGGTAGGTAGGTAGGCATTTTCTTTTTTTCAGTAAAGAGTAATTAAAGTGTCAGATGATTTTTAGTCTTCATGCCTATCTGATTAAAAAAAAAACCTTTTCACATCAGGACAATAAACGATTTTGAGTAGGCAGCTATTATATGGGTAGATAGGGTTAGGGCAAACAAACATGGCCTCAGGATGACAATTTAGGTAAAAAAAAAAAGTCAGGATAAACTTAAAAAAAGGCAGGACCAAATCTTTTAATCAAATTTTTAAAATTGAAAGCAATAAACTAAATTATCAATAACCTGTCATTTTTTAAGATCAATATATACTTGACATAGAAGGGCTGCAGAAGTCATATGCAGAATATAGTGGCCCTATTGCTTCAAAGTGTCTGCAAAATAGACCAAAATCATAAATAATAAATCATGAAAAAGGTCAAGGTCAGAAAAAAATGCCTGTGTCGGACATGTTCACCTTAAAATCATTCCATACACCAAATGTAGAGGCCTAATTGCTAGTTTGAGAAATAGACTTAACCACAACAACTAAAGATTGAACCATGAAAAAGAGGTCAAGGTTCGATGAAAACTGCTAGTCCAAAATGCACATGTACATCTAACAATTATTCTATACACCAAATATAGTTGACCTATTGCTTATAGAATCTGAGATACAGACTTGACCATAATACATTTGTAAAGTGAAAATTTCAAATGAGAAAAAAAAGCATAATTTTTAATCAAGCAGTCACTGAACCATAAAAATTAGGTCAAGGACAATGGACATTTGTTGGACAGAAACTTAGTGACTACACATATAAGGTACACAAAAATGTATCTGTGTACAAGGTATAAAACATCCAGGTCATCTATCTTCTGAAATATCAAACTTTATTCAAATAGTTTATGCTGCTGCACGATTATGCTGATTGTAATCCCTAAGTGTCACATTTTGCAACAATGGTCTCAGGTGACACAAAAACTATTTCATTAAATTCAATCACATTTCATGTGCCTGTACCAAGTATAAACCCTGTTGTATACTTGTAGTACATGTTGCAAGGCCTATAGTTTTTATTTTTTTATTTTTAGAATTGTGTATTAAACATGTTAAATGCATATGACAGATCTATATAAAATAGATGTGGTACATTTTTGTACATGCAGTGATGTGATGTACATGTACATGAATGATTATCACAGACACAATGAACAAGATATTTCTGCTGAATTTATTCACTACTTTTATATACACATTAAAGACTAGAGCTTGACATATTGCATAGACAATTGCCTTTCCTTCTATTGAAGCCTTATATATACACGTAGGTTGCATTCTAGATGTCATTTAATTATTTTTTGCTATTTTAGTTGCTGTCGGTCTATTACAAAGCAGGGTTATTATTCACATCACATAAACATATTCTTGTCCTGAATATGCATATTAATTTGCCACTGGACTGTAAGCAGCTATCCATCATCATCATCATCATCATTAACATATATATAAACGTTTCATGTATAGTATCTCTTCTCGTTCATATGTAAACTTTGACCTACTGCTTTATATACATTGTGTAGAATCTGAGAAATGGAATTAACCACAATATATATTAATTTGCACAAAAAAATAACCTTAATCACTGATGGGTAAAATGAGGTTGGGGTCACATGAACACCGTCTTTTATTTTTACCTAATGTATATACCTTAATTTTTTATTTAGATATCTGTAGACTTATAAGTTGAAACAAGAGTGCACACGCTGAAATGTCTCGCCTACTATACTGACCATTGATTTTATGTTGATAGTCCTACTTATAAAGTTTTACTACAAGTATCACATTAACATTTATGATCCAAGAAAATGAGGTCAAGGTCAGATAAACCAAGGCGGAAATACATGTACACCTTTAATACAATCATTCCATACACAGAATATAGATGACCTATTGCTTGTAGTATAAAACAAACAGACCAAACCATGGAAATTCCATATGGACCAATGAACCATGAAAATGAAGTCAAGGTCAGATGATACCTACCAGACATACATACATGCATACACCTTAAAATCATTCCTAAAACCAAATATAGTTGACATATTGCTTAAATTTTAAGAGAAACAGACCAAAACACAAAAACTTAACATTGAGCAATGAACCGTGAAAATTAGGTCAAGGTCAAATAAAACCTGCCAGACTGATACATGTATGTACATTGTAAAATATTTCCATACACCAAATATAGTTGACCTACTGCATACAGTATTAGAAAAACAGACCAAAACACAAAAACTAAACTAGTACCACTGAACCATGAAAATGAGGTCTCAGATGACACCTGCCAGCTGGACATGTACACCTTACAATCATTACATACATGTATGCCAAATATAGTAGACCTATTGCTTATAGTATCTGAGATATGGACTTGACCATGAAAACTTAACCTTATTCACTGATCCATGAAACAAAATCGGAACTTTTTTTTCAAGTAGTCACTGAACCATGAAAATGAGGTCAATGACATTAGACATATGACTGACGGAAACTTCATATCATAAGGCATCTATATACAAAGTATGAAGCATCCAGATCTTCTACCTTCTGCAATATTAAGCTTTTAAGAAGTGAGTTAACAACGCCGCATCACTATCCCTAATTACACAAAATTTAGATTATTTTTTAACTTTTGTGATAAAATGGTGATATACATGTATGTGCTCAGTTGATACAACATTTTACAATTTTCATGCATCTTGGGACTCGCAAGTTTTGAAAATGATGAGTCCAGGACTCGCCTTAGTGAGAACCCGGGGCTCGACAAAAAATTGAGAGACAAGTTGAACCCCGTCTGACAACACATGTACATGTAAACCTTTGATCCCATACATGTATACCAAATATAGTTATCGTATTACTTATAATATGCCACAAATTCACTTGATAAAATCACTACACATGTAGTTTTTTAAGGAGCACTGAACAATGAAAATGGAATAAGGACAATGGACATATGTCTTGACAGAAACTTCTAAACATAAGGATTCCTTATACATTATCATGATTATGATTTTAAGAATGACAAATCCATGATTTCTACCCTCTGAAATATAAAACTTCATATAAATAGTAAATGTTGTTGTCCGATTAGCATTTCATGTCTTGCATGTCTTGTATTCTGAAACTTTTGTCACAGACAGGACATAACTGGAGACCTTGGAGGAATTAAGCCTACTTATACATGTTATAAGCCTCGTGGTGATAGTCAGTAATTTATCTGGAGGAAAATGAACAAGGAAGATACAAAAAGTGAAGGTAGTCTTCAGTTCCAGAACAGACATAGTTGTCAGAATTTTTTTTTTTTAATTATCTGGTTTATCCGTTCAAATAAAGACAGAAGAAATCTATCTATTACTAAAATATAACTGTTCTGAACTGCATTTTATTTAATGAACGTATAGCACTGTCAACATGTACAATGTACCTGACAACAACCAAGCAACAATCTTTTAGTTCACAAGTACAACAGCTTGATCCATATGTGATCCAAAATGTGCAGAATGCTATTATGGTGGGAGGTTTAAATTCACTTTAGACTTCTCTACTTTGAATATTATATCCTATATCACCTTCATTGCTGGTGATCATCATGTCATGTACATGTAGAACTTATTTTTAAACTTCTATTGGAAACCAGATTGGTCAAATATGTCTCCATAACGAGTTGAAAATATGGAATGTCTTGGACTACCGTAGGTACTGTGGCTTCCAAAGATTTAAAGAATGTCTGATGGTCTTAAATCTGTATTGTATATGACTGTTACATGTATAAATGAAAAAGGCTTTTATATCTTTGCTTTTGTACAGACATCATTGACATTTATATTAGCAAACAATTTGCATTTCCTGGCATATCTATTTGTTTGGCAGCTGAACATTTCCAAATGCATGTTTCATGTTTTTCACATCCTTTTTAGTTTTCTGATGAAAATGCTGTTGCTTCCAGTTGATACAGATTCTATAGCTGAGCCTGTGTCTGGCCATTTCTTTATGTCTAGCATGTGTGTGAATTATTTACAGTGACTCTCAATTTCATTTCCCCAAACTTTCTGTGTCTGATTCCTTTCAATGAAGCTATATAGACCAGGGAAGAATGTCTGCTCCTGAAATATCAATTTAAATATATTTATGGAATATTCTGATTTCAAAACAATGCTGACTCCATTATAAAGCTTATTTAAGATTATTTAACATCCGTTTCAGAGGAACTCATTTAATTTTTTTCTTTAATAATTATTACTAGCTTTTCCAGACTAAAAGATGAAGAAAAAATGTACATGCATGATTGTTTAGGGTTTCTCTACCTACATGTACATACATGTACCCTGTTACTTAATACTAGTGTTTATTCAAACACATTTTAATTGATATGTTCCTCTGGTTAATGACAGAATGTTTTATTGTCCTTAAATAAATGTTACTTACAGATATACATGTAGGTTATCTAAAAGTAAATTTATAAATTGACACTGTGAATCCATTTCTAGGATCCACATCTTCTTATCTTTGAACATTTTTTGGGGAAATAAAAACACTGGCCCTTGAGTAATCCTTTTTGAGATTAGTCCTTGAGGTGTGGATTCCCTAATCAAATTTGTACGTACATGTATTTATTATCAGAATCTGTACACAAATCTTTAAACTTGTATTTCATTTCATTTCACATTTTTTACTTTTTGTTTAGCATCATCATTTCCAGACATTAATCTTATAAGATACCTATTGATTTTGTTTGATAGTTGGTTGTTTTCTGAACAATTTGACATATAGATATAAGAAGATGTGGTATGAGTGCCAATGAGACAACTCTCCATCCAAGTCAAAATTTATAAAAGTAAACCATTATAGGTCACAGTACGGTCTTCAACACGGAGCCTTGGCTCACACCGAACAGTAAGCTATAAAGGGCCCCAAAAAATTACTAGTGTAAAACCATTCAAACGGGAAAACCAACGGTCTAATCTATATAAAAAACGAGAAACTAGAAACACTTATGAACCACATCAACAAACGACAACTACTGAACATCAGATTCCTGACTTAGGACAGGTGCAAACAAATGCAGCGGGTTTAAACGTTTTAATGGTACCAAACCTTCATCCTTTTTCCTGAAACAATAGTGTAACATCACAACATAGAAAGACACACTATAAAATATCAACTGAAATAGCTTAACTCAATCAAAGGACATATTAACACCATTGAACATACACTGAACAAATAAATTTGACCTATGATGTATGTACTATGATAGAGATAGCCTCGTCTGTCTTGTTCTTCTATATATTGATCAAGTATATGTATTGGACATGTTGAATTTAAAGATCGAGTATTCTATCAGTCAAGAGCATAATTACTTAATCAAGTCTTCAAAATTATTTATACTAGTTAGTAATGTTACAAATGAAAACAAAGCAGTAACCCAGAAATTTTCTTCATAATGGGGGCCTGTACAGCCATGCTTCAGTGATTCCCTATATAAACAACCAAATTTTTCCAAAAAGGGGGCCTGAGCCCCCTGAGCTCCCCCTCTCAATCCGCCTCTGCAAAGTTACTCAATCATGTAGTTAAAGCTAAATATTTGAGTATAAAAGACTACAATAAATGGGGAATGTGTCCATAGGACACAGATGATGCCCACTCTTGCAGATCATATAAAGTTATAAAACGACATAACTGAAGAACCGTAAAAGTGATGCTACCCAAATTTGTGCTTGATCTGAGTTTTTTTGGTAATAAGTATTGTGTATAAGTTTCATAACATTTGGTTGAGGCAAACTAAAAGTTAGAGAATGGAAACGAAAAATTCAGAAATTTTACCATTTGTTCTGGAACGGTTAAAGTAACACTTTTTGCCTCTTTCAACTGATTTTTATAGTTCGTTCTTATATTGTACTGTTACACCACTTTCCCAGGTTAGGGGTAGGGTTGGGATCCCGCTAACATGTTTAACCCCGCCACATTCTGTATGTATGTGTCTGTCCCAAGTCAGGAGCCTGTAATTCAGTGGTTGTCGTTTGTTTATGTGTTACATACTTGTTATTCGTTCATTTTTTTTGTACATAAATTAGGCCGTTAGATTTTCTTGTTTGATTGTTTTACATTGTCATTTCGGGGCCTTTTATAGCTGACTGTGAGATGTGGGCTTTGCTCATTGTTGAAGGCTGTACGGTGACCTATAGTTCTTAATTTCTGTGTCATTTGGTCTCTTGTGGAGAGTTGTCTCATTGGCAATCATACCACATCTTCTTTTTTATATGTACATAAACAGGATGAAATTATTTTTCTCACAAAGCATTAAGCTAATATTTAATGAACACTGAAACACTACATGTAATTGCCATTCTGACCCACTGTAGCCGAGTCCAAGAATAGTGAACAATTAATTTCTTTCTTGGCAGAAAATTTCCAGTAACAATTATCTGGAGCACCACATGATATCAACATGTATCAGTGTGTGACAGAAGTAAAAAAAGTATGCTGATATTAAAACTTCTTCTGCATGTGCTGGCATAAGTATACATGTATATCTTTGCAAGTACACAGTAGAATATCATTAATAAGATGACATTATGATTTATATACTATTACCAATGAATTTAGATTTATCTGATCCCATATCTTCATTGTCATTGACTTTGTAAATTATAATTTTTTGGTAGGAGAATTAGAATGAAGACTTGCAATGCATTTTCTGGGATATTGTCATGTTTTTTTAAAGTACACTGTGAATCCTCCACAAAGATTTTTTTAATAAACACTCGAGAAGTTGCCCAATGATAGAAAATATTATTTTCGAGAATTTACCTTTGAATGCTGACTTGATTATCGGGTAGCAGATATCCCGCAATGGTGGTAAGTCGTGCACTTAGGGCCATTTTTTATTTTATTTTTCTGTAGACTTAGTTTCGTTTTTTTATTACTGTGTATTGTCAAGCTTGGTTACTCATAATTGTTTCTCAGCCACTGAATGTACGATGTTGTTCGATACTGGAGCAGCTGACCCGGTTTGTTTACATTCACATTCTAATGGCTTCAAAACCACGTGACACATTGAATCGTTATATCCAATCAAATTGCTCTACTGTCAATTAGGTGATTTTTTAGTACAAGGCAATTATATTATTTGTTTGTATGATATTGCTTTGAAATGGTTTGCAATAAATTGGGGGTTTATTCAATAGGAAACCTCATTATTAGCCATGAAATTTGACATCAATGGAATTTTATATGAATATTTACTTATGGTCAGAATATCGATCTCTTAATATTAAACCAAATTTTTTTTTTATGAAAAATATATGTATATTGTTTTTTATTAACCTACTCTATATTCCTGAACAAAAATATGGCATGATTATCGTTTGTTTCCCAAAGTTTTTCTTTCAATTTGGATGGGTTTTTTTCGCGGGAAAATCGCGTAAGACGTAAGGTGCTTGCCATTTTGAAATTCTTAAAAATACGATTGGCTTGGCCTGTTTGGTCTGCCATTAAGATTGATGACGCTCAATGGAATGCAAACAAAGCAATGGAGGCCGGAAGAGGGGTTTTCTTTAGTTCTGAAATGTTTTTAGGCATTCGGAAGTCAGGTTTGAAATGGCCATTAGAAAATCTGCATTTTTGTACAATACTTAAGAATAATAATGAAAACATATCTTTAGAAATATCATTTCATTTAGAAGTGTAGAAAAAATGTATTCTGCACTAATTTTATACGCTGGTATTAGCGTAGTGACGTCAATGCGGAGTTTTTCCGTATGATAAGTACAATAACAAAATCCGAACGAACCAACGTTATGACCGATTATAGACTACGGTAGGATATCTGGTATGTAAACTCTTCCATAGCCCGTTTGAAGCATGTTGGAAGCCTGACCATGCAATCTTTGATTTCCAAAATTTGTCTCTTCTCAAATTTCAATTCTTTCACTTTGTACTAAGGCAAAATTTCAGTTAATGCATTTTCTATGTTGTTTTTCCATTTCTACGTCGCCATCTTCAACATGTTCCTAGGTCGCGTTTATAAGGAGGGAAGCACTAATGACAGGACGGTTGCCCGGATAGTGACAGGACGATTGACTGGATGAGATATAAATAGTCATAACTTTTTTGTTATTCGGTAGATTTTTTTAATATTTGTAGACCTTAGAGATATTATACTATATTTTATGAAAATAAAACAAAATAAATGAAAAAAAATATTTTTGAGCAATTAAAGTTGACCGGACGGGTTTCACACTCGCCGATACACGCTATACATATATTCAACTGGTCGAAAACAAGTGTTAATATCTCTTTTGTTTTACAATATTTGTCGATGAAATTAAGGAATCTGTGAGAATAATAAATATTTAATACGAAAATATAAACTTTATAGTAAACAAAAATGTTTTTCTGCAAAAAAAGTTGACCGGACGGTATTGACATTCGCCGATGTACGCGTTGATTATATTGAACTGATCGACAAAAAGTGTTCATATTTTTTTTTTTACAATATTTTTACATGAAACTAAGAAATCTACGAGATCAATAAATATATGATATGAAAATATCAACTTTGTAATAAAAAACATTGTTTTTCTTCAAAAAAAGTTGACCGGACGGAACTAACATTCGCCGATATATGCTTTAAATATATTGAACTGATCGACACAAGTGTTAATATCTCTTCTTTTTCTTTTTATAATATCTGTCCATGAAATAAATGAATCTGTGAGATTAATAAATATATTATACGAAAATATAAACTTTATAGTAAAAACTTTGAGCCCAAGATGTTGATTTGAGTGAGTTCACCACGGCACACTTAGTTTAGAAGTACTTATATTTAATTAGATTAATCTAATTTTGACACTTGTTCGTAATTACCAATCACGCCAAATAACATGTCATTAAAGTTTTCACACCTGGGACATCAAATACATTTAATTATAAGCCAAAGGCAAACGAAGTTTACTTGTTTCAAACTGGGGCAGATGATTGGAAATGTGACCAATATCTGTGGATAAATAATGGTACAAAATCAGTCACCATTGGTAATGATGTTCTTAAAAAACATTTTTACAAAATCCGATTACCAGGAACAAAAGACAATACAAACGATAGAAAAAGACCAGTTGGTTCTTTACAGTTTAAGAAAACTGCATATAGTTTCAAAAGTAACAAAAGCTTAATACTTGTGCATTATGAGGGAGATGAAACGGTGTATGTTAAATTCCCGTTGGCCATGGGAACAGCAAAAATCCACATCCCCCTGAGTAAACACGCACTGCTCCTTCTGTATTAACAGAGACATATATACACGTGTGTATATGTCTCTGGTATTAAGAAAAATAGAACATGACATAAAGTCAGGTGACAAAACTGCCATGGATGTTTACAGGGAAAACATATCAAATGGTTCAGTTTCTGGTGAACACCAAGGAGTGTTAAATGCTAGAAATGTTAAACAAGTTGAGAACCTAATAAGGAAAGTCAATGAGGAAGAAAGACTGAGCAAAGACGATATATATAACCTTTTGCTCTTGGCATATCACATTGATGGATTCATCTACGAGGTGACAGTTTTCCCTGATCTAAGTTCAATCATTGCTTTACCAGAAATGATTTCTATAGTTAATCAGTTACTTGATGTTAACACAGAAGATGATATTCCGTATGTTTTTTCACCACTAGTATTTAGAAATATAATTTTTGAAGATAGACCTATAATGCCTGTAGCTTTCTTGATACACGGTAGAAAGAAAGAGAAGACACATGCACGTTTCTTTGAATTCGTAGCATCGTCATTTAAAAAAAAAAAAAAAAACCTCAGTCCCTTTTGTAACTGATAGGGAGATTGGTCTTGTAAATGCAATCAGAAGGAATTTCCCAGCTTGTGATGTTCTTATGTGCTGGAATCATTTGATGAGCAGGGGGGGGGCAGAATAATTCTGGCAGACGGAAGGGGTCGGCTAATAATTTGTTGTCGCAATTTTTACCATTTGAACAAATATAGGCCTACATTTCCATTTGTTCTATAGTAATATAAATTATTTACTATAAATTTTATATTTTCATATAATATATTTATTAAAAATATTGTAAAAAAAAAGAAGAGATATTAACACTTGTGTCGATCAGTTCAATATATTTAAAGCAAATAACGGTCGAATATAAAATCAGTCCGGTCAACTTTTTTTGAAGAAAAACATTTTTTTTTACTATAAAGTTTATATTTTCATATCATATATTTATTGATCTCCAAGATTCCTTAATTTCATGAAAAAATATTATAAAACAAAAAAAATATTAACACTTTTTGTCGATCAGTTCAATATCATATTTAAAGCATATATCGGCGAATGTTAATTCCGTCCGGTCAAATTATTTTGAAGAAAAACATTTTTTTTACTATAAAATTTATATTTTAATATCATATATAAATTGATCTCGTAGATTTCTTAGTTTCATGTAAAAATATTGTAACAAAAAAAATATAAACACTTTTTGTCGATCAGTTCAATATAATCAACGCGTACATCGGCGAATGTCAATACCGTCCGGTCAACTTTTTTTGCAGAAAAACATTTTTGTTTAGTATAAAGTTTATATTTTCGTATTATGTATTTATTATTCTCACAGATTCCTTAATTTCATCGACAAATATTGTAAAACAAAAGAGATATTAACACCTGTTGTCGACCAGTTGAATATATGTATAGCGTATATCGGCGAGTGTGAAATCCGTCCGGTCAACTTTATTTGCTCAAAAATATTTTTTTTCATTTATTTTGTTTTATTTTCATAAAATATAGTTTTATATCTCTAAGGTCTCCAAATATTAAAAAAATCTACCGAATAACAAAAAAGTTATGACTATTTATATCTCATCCGGTCAATCGTCCTGTCACTATCCGGGCAATCGTCCTGTCATTAGTGCAACCCTTATAAGGAGCATTCTGATTAGTCGATATAAATACTTTCTGGGGTCAAATATTACGTTATATAAGGTCACAAAAGTGAAACCTTGTAGGGTACTTGTTAGATCTTCGTATGTAGTATAACGTAGTATAACGAAATCCGAGATCTATATTTTAATTAGATTGTAAAACTAGATATCAAGAATTTTTGAGGAAGTAACATGTAGTGAATAAAAATGATTATAATAATTTTATGAAATAAGTTATTTACCTATTTATACAACATATTATACCTCAAAGATTGCTCAGTTGAAACACGATTAAATTTAATAGCCTTAGTGAACAATTAGATTTTCAGTGGGAGGGGATTTTATGCTGATTGAATATTCATTTCACAACGGTTGATAGTACGACTTATTTATATGGCGCGAAAATTATTTCCACTTTTTAGACAAAACTATTTCTCTTGCAAAGACCTGCATTTTGTAGGACAAAATATTCATTTTCATCATGTCTTTGACAAAATTATTTTAACAGTTAGTACCAGTCCAAACTATTCATTTCCTAAATCACCCCATGTGTGACTATGGGACAGAAATATGGTCATTTAGATCTTCTTCCGATCGGCCGTAAAACCCTTGCAAAGTGAGGCGTCCGTTTGGCTGTGCGGGATGTACAAGTACACAGCCACGTCCAGTCAGAATGGGACATTAAATCCGATGCCTCGTGTAGAAAGAGTACCACGCTCTCTGCACGTTAAGAGCCTTTCAGCAACTCTCATAGGGGTGACTGATACAAAAGTTTACACAGACATTTTTAATTCAATTCTATACAATGTACATGTAAATTACGTGTACATGTTGTTTACTGGTGTGGACATTTTTCATGTACATGTGAGGAAAACCGATGTACAGATGAGAACAAACTTAATTTAAAACCAGTGTTCATTACATGCAACTAATTGTAAACAAATTTACAGTACGCAGCGTTTGGTATGAACACGGCCTAAGATGCTGTTTTCGCATAATCAGTATACCTACTCCCGAAGATTGTTAATGTATTGTCACAGTTGCTTCAGTCAAAGTTGAACACATGAGAAAGATTTGCCATAATGACCTTATACTCTCTAGATATTGAAGGATATTACCTATGTAAACATGGTTAAATGAATATGATACTCTTTAGTGCAAATATAATTCTAATAGAAAAGAAAGGGCATGATGTATCATTCATAATATACACCCAAATACCATCAAAACAAAGGAAAAGTACTTACATTGCTATTAAACTTCATCTCAAGTATACTCAAAGTGAAGGGTGAAGATAATTACATTTAACTCAAACTCAAGACGTTTCCTAGCACCGATTAGAGCGGAAGTTTACCATATACGCTACGTTTGTACATTTGAGAATACTGCTGCTGGTTCCGTTGTTCCACGGTATTATCAACAAATGATAAATTATATCAGTTATCTCATAATAAATAATCATTTCTTGTAAACATGTAAGAGAAAACACCTCTAGGAAACTTTGGCGTACACATGCAAAGTTGGCGATTCTATATACGTTAATGCAAAAAAATATTACGAATCAAATTCAGTTCTTCAGAACAACACTATACCAACTTCTCATTTAACTTCTTATTGCACTCTATTTTATAAATATCGTTTTAGATCAATATCAATGTCGTCATCACCAGTAAAATGTCTTTTAAACATTATAATAAAAAAGGAAAATGTTCTTTATAATTGAAGTATCAATTTTGTCGGTGAATAACATACTATATTACCCTAATCTTTTAGGTGTGTTATTCATGCACTTGAATAATTATGTACACTACTACGCGATCTTCACATTACTCTATCATAGTGATATGCGGGGGAGGCATATTGATTTTTTTTCAATTCTTCGGGAATTGTTTATTTACAACCCCATTACACATTTTCTTTCTTTTCTTATGCAATATATCTCTGTAACAATTATCAATTGCACGTTGCAGATGCGAGAAATTTCATAAATACTATATTTATTGGACAAACCTTTAATTTCTTATCGAATGAAAATTTTCCTTTTGTAGTTATTTCTTAAACAGAATGGTAAGAAGGTGTGTACAAATCGAATCTTTCTTTTGCTTTTGTTCTTGTGAGTGCCGGTTGAATACTGTTTGATTAAAATCAAAGCATTCCATTCATTCATAAAATCTTTCATCCTATTAAAGACAGATCAATTACATTATGATAACTATACGTTAACCTTTATAACTTTTCATTTATTCATAAAACATAGTCATAGTAAAGAAATCAAATCTTTCTATTTATATATGTGTGTAATTAGATATTTGTTATCTATTTATACAATATCGGTTAGTAAGTTAAAAATGAAACTCCAAGGGACTTTTCTGAGGAAAAATTTCTTATAAACATGTTAAATTTAGATTAAGATTGTGGAAAGGGATTGTATAGGCCTGGCCTGTTGCCAAGCCCAATTCAATTTATTTTAAATAAAATGTAACAGTTGTTTAAACTAGGTTAACATTTTAATCTTTACTACGAAGTCTTAGTACATTTATTACGAATGTTGTCACCTTTGTACGCTATGTGCATGTATTTAAATTTGAATTGAATTGAGGAACAAAAAAAGTGTTGGTGAAATAATTTACCTCTATTTCAAGCAAGTTTGACCAAATATTCTTATATTCTTTTAAATTCGTATTTGCCCTTTACGTGAGCATTTCTATTCAATCGTATTTAAAGAAGAAACAGTAACTGAAACAGTTTTAAAGAGGCATAAGCTACGAGATATATGAAAAAAAATAATATATGATTTTTTTTGTTCAATCATTAATTAAAGTGAAATAGTAAAATAATAATTCGCTTTTAGCAGCCAGTTTGGTTCAATTTTGTCAAAATAAGTTAAAAAACATCGCTGATGGATGAATTATTCACTTGCAAGTGAATAATTCGACCTCATTGAATCCGTATTCATGTGACCTTCAATTTAACCCTAAGTTAGAGATGGGTTACGCATGAAATATACGTGTTCAGTTATTAAAAGGAATAGAATGTCAACATTGAAAGTGAAACAAGGGTAAACCATTTGATTAACTGATTCGATCCACAAAAACTCATTCTTATAAAGGTAAAAACGATGATTAACATGTACTTTTAACCTATAATATGAAATCAAACAGACCTAGAAAAATCCAGTTGCACGAGTTCACTATCTATGTATATCTATATTTATGTTTATATTGGGTTATATGACCATCAGCAGTCTTCGGATGTCACCTGGATAATTAATTAGATGGGGTCTAGACTAAAATACACACGAAATGTTGTTACATATTATCGAGCCCATGCATTGTAAATTGTTTATTTTATACTTTTTATAATTTGGATATAAGTTTTAGTATGTTGTATATCAAATATGAGAATTTGAGTCAATTCAGTGAATAAGAATTTGACAGCTAATGCCCCTTTAACTATTTTTTATCATAGTTCGTGAGGTAGTTTGATTTTTTGTCCATAATGTTTCCTTTTATTGTAGCATATATCTTATTTGTTGGTTTTCGTTCAATTCCGTAATTTATCCAATCAGAGTAAATTAAAAGATTGGTGACATCATGCATGCCGTTACCATAGTTAAGCGTCCAAAGAACACAATTCAAAACTATCACGGACTGCGTTAGTAAAAACACAATAGAAACGACTTTATGAGTTGTGGTTATTTTACACTACTCCATTGAAATGTTGCTTCATATACAAACGACTTTATGAGTTGTGGTTATTTTACACTACTCCATTGAAATGGTGCTTCATATACATCCACTCAACAATGATCAGTGAAAAATGAAACGGATTAAAAACTTTTTATAAACAACCCAAAACGTTTAAAGAGACTTGTTTTTAGTTATTTTATGGTTGAATTTGTATACTAGTAACCATTTACCACTTCTTACCAGTGAAACAATATGATAGAACTACCACTATTGGAACATGTGTTTATACAAGATACTATCATGCACAACTATCTGACTATTGTTTATTTGTCCTCTGTGCTCATTGTACTGACTTCAGATAACTGTGAACATATCTTCTATTAGGGTAAGGGGGATGTGAATCAGATGTGGATACAAAAAAAATCAAAGATCTCTTAGAGCAAGAACAATGCTATAAATTTGAAATGGAAACTAGGAACGCGTCAAAGAGGCAACAACCCGGCCAAAGAGCAGAAAACAGCCCAAGGCCACCAATAGGTTTTCAACACAGAGAGAAAATCCCGCAACCGGAGGCTGGCTTCAGCTGATTCCTTAACAATAATGTATACTAAAAAGTCCCTTTCACAAAGCAATAGCATAACAAATTTAACTTCTCTTCCTTAAGTTTACATAAAAATTCCACATTCTTAACTTTAGAATTAAATTCCAACTTTGCTTAATCAAGATAGAAAGACAACACAAATAAAACTACTTTCTTTTTGGAAGGGAAAAAATCAAACTTTGTACAAAACAACTCTGATACAACCAAAAGGACTCGAAACTGACATGCTGATGATTGATTTTTTCATTGGATACATGTTTGGAGGACAGACAATCGAAACGTGGGAACCAACTTTGCTTCTCTTCTTGTGAAATTGTTCATTAATTATTACGAGACATCCATCCATAAAGGAGTGTCTGAAGAAGAAATTAAACGAAAACGATATTGACCTTTAATTTCACGTTTTGCTATGTAAATTATGTCCTTTCACTGAATAATATTTTGGTGACAAAGTTAATTGCATCCATCCCATTGAACTTTTAAATCAGTTACCTATTATGTCTGTTTGTTTTGTTCACACATTGTTGTCAATATAATGGAAGTTTATGCGACTGTCATACAAGTGAGAGGTTTAGCTAGCTATAAAACCAGGTTTAGTCCACCATTTTCTACATAAGGAAATGTCTGTACCTAGTCAGGAATATGACAGTTGTTTTCCATTCGTTTGATGTGTTTGAGCTTTTGATTTTGCCATTTATTAAGGGACTTTCCGTTTTGAATTTTCTTTGGAGTTCGGTATTTTTGTTATTTTACTTTATACCATAGATAAAGTTAAGTCTACTTCATATCTTGACTTACATCTACATCTTTACAACGAGCGTCGGTTGAGAACTATACTTTACGACAAATATTAGGATTTCAACCTTAAATTTCCTGAATCAACATTTTAAAAGAGCATGTATCTGATATTCCGGATCTATCTTGCATTCTTATTTCCTATATTGATTTCCTTCCCAACAAGGGAGCTAGTGAACAAAATATTTTAAATGATTAAGTTTAAGTCATTCCTTCAATAGTTTTACGGACACTACTAGTATTTACGGAGTATCTTTTTGTACAGATGACCACCGAGATGATTCGTTTGTCGAAGCTACAATCCATTCTCATTTTCGCGATTTTTACATGATCAAATGCGACTTAACAAGGATTTTAAAATTGAATTTCAATGAGCAACATGCCAGGTGCCAGTACTGAAGTAGGAACTGTTTTTCATTCGGGAGCATTTGATTTCATCCTAGGTTTTTGGTTGGGTACGTGCAGCTCAATCTTTGGGGTTTTTAAAAGCCTATTGTGGACTCATTTTAGCATGGCATCTTGTGTTTGTATTTTAGTTATGATATTTAATTTGGTATCTTTTTGTCTCGCCTGCTACGAAAGTCGCAGTATGCGAGACTTAGGTATTACTATCTGGCGGCGTAAACTATTTATATAAAGCTTTATATTTCAGAAGGTAGAAGACCTGGATGCTTCATATCTTGTATGCAGATACCTTATGTTACGAAGTTTCCTTCTGTCATATGTCCATTGTCCTTGACCTCATTTTCATTGTTCAGCGACTGCTTGAAAAAAAAATTACAGTTTTTTTTTGTAATGTGAATTTCTTATTATGAGTTATAGGATAACTATATTTGGTATATGGGTTCCTTGCAAGGTCTACATATCCGCCAGACAGGGTTCACCTGACCTCGACCTCATTTCATGGATCAGTGATCAAGGTTAAAGTTACGTGATAAGGTCCGTATCTCAAATACTATAAGCAGTAGGTCAACTATATGTGGTGTATGGAATGATTGTAATGGGTACATGTCAGTCTGGCAGGTTTCATCTGACCTTGACCTCATTTTCATAGTTCATTGGCAAATGTTAAGTTTTTGTGTTTTGGTCTGGTTTTCAAGTACTATAAGCAATAGGTCAACTATATTTGGTGTATAGAATGATTGTAAGGTATACATGTCTGTCTGGCAGGTATCATCTGACCTTGACCTCATTTTCATGGGTCATTCGTCAATGTTAAGTTTTTGTGTTTTGATCTATTTTTCAAATACTAAAAGTAATAGGTCAACTATATTTGGTGTATTGAATAACTGTTAGGTGTACATGTCTGTCTGGCAGGTGTAATCTGACCTTGACCCCATTTTCATGGTTCATTGGTCAATGTTAAGTTTGTGTGTTTTGGTCTGTTTATAAATTACCATAAGCAATAGGTCAACTATATTTGGTGTTTAAAAAAATTGTAAGGTGTATATGTCTGTCTGACAGGATTTATCTGACCTCGACCTCATTCTCATAGATCTTTAAACA